GAAACTTATTCAAAGGCACCACGTGAACGTCGTCAGTCGTAATGTCACACATCACTGCACGCAAACCCAAAAACTACACGAGAAGTGTAAAATGGAACAGATCGTAGGTCGTCGATAAATATTTGTATGGACGTTTGTTTTGGTAAATAATAAGGAGAAGTAGGTTATTGAAATCACGTTAATATCTACCAGACGTAGTCTTGTTAATACCGTTGTTAAACATCTCTTCTTCGGTAACAAAATTAAGTGTTGGTACATGAATTAATCTGTAATATCATTGCCTAATAGTAAAATTTAAAAAAATCGTTTTCCATATGTAATAACATTGTACGCAAAAAAGTTATGTATAAATAAGAAACATTTAAAGAGTGAATAAATCCAACAAATATTAATTCACAAAAATGTTGATATTGCTAACAACCATTATATTGGTACACTACATAACACCAACAAGTACAAGTATAAGAAAGCAGATACGAAAATGAACTCTAAAAATCACTAACCCTTGATTCCAGGGACAAAGCCTACATCCCAGAGATATTTTAAACAGAAATTTTCACATTTTCGTTTCAAAACACAGTGCATCTACAACATAAATGCAGTGATATTAAAATAGAACTAATAATTAACAGACTTTTCACTATCTTACCACTATCGCTGAGAAAACGGGCACCCTTACCTGCAAAAGAAAGAAAATAAAATTAAAACCATCATACTTTCCATTTGAAAAATTTTCGGCGACACATTTTTCTACTCAGTTAAGCGCTCCCAAAAGATACCCCCGCCCCATCCCATAGAATCACACCCACCTAGCAGGCCTATAAATAAACCGAGGAGACATCGGCTCGAACAAAAACCCGGGTTAAATTCCTGTAAGCCGAGACCGGAGAAGATCGTCAACGACGTACACCCACACACACAAAAAATGTCGGATCTTCTCGCACGCGACGTCCCGCGCGCTGCAACTCCGGCAAAGAATTTCCCGAAACTCCAGCTCACAAGCGCCCCT